GAAGGGCTCCTACTTGGCTTTAGTACTAGCAGGTACAAGCAATTTGATCCTCTTTTTTTCTTTTTTTCTTTTTCTTTTCTTTTTTCTTTTTTTTTTCTTTTTACCAAGAAAATTCTCTTAGTAGGCATGTTTGCCTTTCTGTAATCCTGCTGGTGTTTAGGCTGTGCTATTCATAGGGGACCTTTTTTGTAGGTGGGAATACTGTGGGTGTCAGCTTAAAGCACTCCAGTGTACTCTCTCTGTGTTCTCCCAAGCAGCAAAGTCTGGAGGAGTGCATGACTGTTCTTTGTGACATGCTAATTTGCAGGTTTCCCCAGTGTAATTGTAGGAAGATGCTGACTTGGGTTAGTGCTATCTTACCATAGCAAAAGTGAAAAATCAAAATTTGTCTTAGCAAGTTTGTTGGTTTTTTTTCCTGCAAGGAATGAATGCTGCTCACGCAATCCTTAGTTATGTTTATATTTCATCATGGCCAGGTTTTTTCTTAGCAAAATGATGATGCAGAAGTACCAATGCAAGCTGGTTAACTAAATATTTAAATAAAAAGACTGGGTTATTGATTTTAATAATAATGTCACTTGAATGGCAGAAGTTACTTTTAAGATACTATCAGTGTCTCAGTGTCTTTAAGTAAGCAGTGAGTAATGTTATCTGGAATCCACATTGATATTAGAAGAAACTACTAAACAATCAACTTCAACAAGGTGTTGAAGGTATTGAAGAGGTAGAGATTCAGTCAGAAACCAATTCAGTCTTTTTTATTTGCCTTGTAAGAAGTTAGACATTTTTTACAGTGAGGGTGGTGAAGCACTGGCACGGGTTGCCCAGAGAAGTCATGAATACCCCATCCCTTGAATAGGGAAATGTTCATGGCCAAGTTGGATGGGACTCTGAGCACTCTGGTTGGGTGGAAGCTGAAAGTACCTCTGCCCATGGTGGGGAGTTGGACTAGATGGCCATTAAATGTCCCTTCCAGCTACTGTGTGATTCTGCAATTCTGTTCTGTGATCTAAAAATATTAATAATGTGATTTCTAATATTAATAAAAAAAAGTTGTATTTTGTATATCTGTTATGATTGACATGAAACTGCCTGAACAGAATCACTTGGGAGGATGGAATTTGATACATTTATTTTTTAAAGCAAAAAGTGTTTTCAGATAAGAGGAAGGAGCTAAAAAAGCAAACTTCAAATGTGGACATGGTGTTACTTCTTCAGGCAGTTAGTGGTAAATACACAGTGACTTCAACTTCAGCGTTAATGAACATCTCATACTTGCAACCTGTTTACTTCTTATGTATCTATTTGTATCTCTTCTTTGTATCTATTACTTTAACTTCTTGGCACTTTCTGTCCTGGCAGGTAAGTCATAATTATATTCTTAAAAGGAATGTTACTGAGGTAGGAAATGCTTGTGTAAAGCAGGTGTTTCTGCATACATAGGTGTAGGTTCAGTTCCTCTGTATACATCTAACTACTCCTATTGAAAATAGAAGAAAATCCCAAGGCCCTTATTCTTTTTGCATGTGTGTTACATTACTTTCATAGGAGTTGTCCAGGCTTTCAGGTAAGTTTTGTAGTCCTGCAAGTGTTAGTGCTAGTCTGCTACAGTGTTTCTAGCCTTGTCTTTTTTCAGTTTCCGTTTGAGTGGATAGCTGCCATTTGAAACAGTAGTCCTGCTGGATCCTATTAGTGGGCACTACTGCTTCCGGTCCTTTTCTGTAGCCAGACAGCTTTGGTAGTTAAAAGGTTGTAATTTTATTTATAATACTGTGTCAAATAGGAACTCGCTTCTTATGTGACAGTAGCTTGTTATGCTAAAATCAGAAAGATGATCACTGTCCTGGAGAAGTTTTTATAGGTAACTTGCAAGGCAAAAGAGAGGACAGATGATTAGAGGTAATGTCAGGCAGTACAGAAAGGAAAGTGATATTGCTGCAAATGGTTTAAAGATGCCAAAAGAACCTGTGTTTTAATTCCTTGCAAGTTGGATAGTAGAGAAGAGTTTGAAGGAAACAATTAGGAAGAACACAGTGAATGGGCATGTGCACTCTAGGGGATCTTCCAAATGTGATGAATGCTTTGAGTCTATTTCTAACCCTATTGTGCCAGGGAGGTGCTGAGCACCAGGGTACAAGGCTTTTGGGCTCACTAAGCCAGTGTTCCTAAAATACGAAGTTTGCACAGAATATACATATATGTTGGCCTTTTCTTTAAAGCAAAAACCAGCTGGATTTAACTTTCATTGTACAGATAAATATTGTCTGAAGGCAGTAGACTGTGAGCTTTAAGCTCCCTCTGGTGGCTTTACAGTACAGTTCAAACCTTGACTGTTACACTTGTCTTCTTTGGACAATTTTGAGACTTGAAGTTTGTAATGTAATATTAACGTCTTTTAATTTTAAAAGTTAATACAGGAATATGATGTGCCATATGCCTTTCCAGGGTGTCAAAGGTCTTCTGTAACTGGACTTCAGAGAAATAGAAGAGCTAAAATAATATAAAGCAAGAGGTCTGCTTTCTAGTTAGTAGAAGCATAAAGGAGGTATATCCCATAAAACTTCTCTGGTTGTTTGCTTAGTGGTGCCATAGTTTGTAGCAGATATCTCTGAAAGTGTCCTTAAGTATTACAGAACAATGGAAGTACATAGGACCTCTGTATGTCAAACTTAAATATAATGTGTTAATGCAAAACTAGTTTTGGATCAGGTAGCCCTGATTTGGTCTTCTTGCTCTAAGGATGTGAATATAAATTACTCTGGGCTTGCAAAAAGTTATGCTTTGTCACACCCAAAAGATTCATTCTAGCACGGCTATAATTAGTGAGCCTTCATGAGACTGCAGAGCTGTGAGCTGCAAGGTCAGTAGTGTTGAAAGGGAAATGTCACTCCACTCCTTTTCTCCCCATCATTGCACTGGCTCTGGCACTTGTCTGGCTTTTTGATGTTTATTAGAGTAACAAATGTTCATCCCCCTTGCTCCCAGATTTCCTCTCTATCCTCCTTTTCTTTTGTGGACTAGTTGATAGGAAGTATCATGCAAAGAGGTAGCAAGACCATGCAGGTGGGACCAAGAAAGGAGTATGACCTCTCCTTTTGGTAGCAGAAAGTTATTAAAATAGGTCACTTGTCTCAAGAAGATTGATTCTTAGTTCTTTTGAAATATCATTGGGCAAAGCTGTGTGTTCCTTGAGACTTAAAACTATTCCCAGTCATTGCACAGCAACAGAGGCTGTAGATTGAATGCACTTTAAATGATAACTGGTGCTGGAAAAAAGCAGCCTATCACCACCCAGTATGTCCCATACTGTGCTGGTTTATGCTTTTGTGTTGGGTTATGTTAAACCAGACAGGGTCCAGATGAAAAAATCTGGGCTGATTTTTGGTAATTACTTCCCCAATCTGTTTCAATGTGCATTTGCACAAGTTCTTGTCTATACAATGTGGGGAAAAATTTGGAGCTGTCTTTTTTTCAGTTGGTTTGGTTTATTTACCACAGTTCTGACTGAAGTGTGTATCAAGCTGTTGCTGTGTAGGTCATTCCTGCATGTTTGATAACCTGCCTCAAATATTTTTTCTGGCATTCTGTATAACTGGTTCTATTGCAGTGAATGTAGCTAGAGTCTGTGCAGAGGAGGACGGTCCTTCACACTGCAGAAAACACAAACAGCTGTTCCCATTAGGAACAGCTCCTGCTGCATGCAGGAGACTTGAGGTTACATCACAGAAATATCTATTAAATCAGATTTCTTGTGGTTTATTTACTGGAAAATATTTCACTTACATTAAAAGTGTTGGTCTTGATGCTAAGGTCTTGGTGCTTTTATTCTCAAAGCAGTGGATCTAAATCATGACTGAAAGATAGGTGGCACACATGTTCTTCTCAAGCTGTTAGGGACAGGGCTGGAATGTGGAGTTCGGAAGTTCAGCTGAAGTTCAGTAACCTAAGCTGTCACCTTGATCCTGCTCTGCAGTTTGGATGTGATCTTCCTACATGTGTGCATGTTCCTTTCTCGAAGGTTAGCATCACTTTTGCTTACCCTGTTTGTGGTGTCAAGCCCAGTATCTTGTGCTGTGTGTGTTCAGATAAATCCCAAATAGCAGAAGTCAGAGAATATTAGTGGCACAAGTGGAAAGCAGTGTGGTGCTGTGAGCCGCTGATACTTTCTGCATGGCTGTTTTTACCTTGTAGGGCAGTGGGGGCTGTTGGGGTTGCTCAGTCAGGTGAGGCTGCAGCGCAGGAGGCTCCTCTGTACTTTGTGGGCACCTCACAGGGGTCTAGATTGTCGCATGGTTTCATGCTTTACCTCTAGCTAATTTTCAGGTAGAAACTGCACTGGAGCTGGCTCTCAACAGGAGAGCAGCAGGTGTTACCTGAGCAGCCAGGGTGTCCAGGAGGTAATGGGGTGGGTGTATATAGGGTGTAAGCTGAGGAACCACCATAGCCATTCCCAAATGTGCTTCCTTGTCTCTTCAATCACACACAGTTCTCAGGATGTCAACTTTTATATTAAGCACTAGAGGGTAGTATGTTCCTGGTATTACTTTATTTTAGAAGATACCTTCAGTGATTTTTAAATCCCCTGAATTTATTAGACAACTAAATATTTTAAAAAAAATGTAGAACTAAAGAAAAAAGAGTGCTTTGCTTCCAGGACTGTGACTGTGCTTAGCATTTAGTGATGTGCAGTGGTATTTTTGGTCTGAGTAGAAAAAGGATTGGTTTGAATTTAGATCTGACTTCTAACTTTCTTCAGAAACATCATTAGGAAACTATACTTAAATTATTCACTCTCTGCCTGATATCTTGATATTCACACCTATGTGCATGCAATGTAAATACAGAGTGGTATATAAGAAGAGGTAATGCCTGAGAGCAAATAGTTTTGCCAAGAGATACTTGGTTTTGGTGTTTAACAATGCAAGCATTTATAAGTTCATGACATTGCTCTTAGTATATTTTTGATCAGTGCTTGAAAAACTTTTTTTTTTTTCTTTCAGGCACCACCTTCCATGGTCAACAATGAACAACGCCAACATGCTGAGCACATATTCTTATCATTTAGAAAATCAAAATCACCATTTGCTGTTTGCAAACATATTTTGGGTAAGTTTCAATAAATTAAGTTAGGCATATAACTGGAACTGTGCTGTTCTTTTGCAGCTGGGACTATGAACATCAGTTTTGATTTAGATGAGGGGTACTTTTTGATGGAGGGTGAAGTCTATTACTGTCCTTTTTTGTTTTATTTCTGTCAGTCTCAAAGCTGTAAGGTGGCACTTCATGTAGCTAAATTACTAAACTGATTTAGTAGATTTCCTCTTCAACATGGTTACTGTAATACTGTCTCACCTGTGCAGCTTGTGCAACTGCCAGTGGTGTGGTTGCTTGGCTTTGTGCTTGCTTCCCATTAAATCAGCCAACAATGCTGTTTTATGCACTTCTACCAGATTTTGCATTGGTGCTGAAATGAGAGTTTATGTCCAGTTGAACAACTTAGTTGCTGTTGACAGCCCAGCTGGAGGAAAAGAGGAAAAAGCTAGAAAAGTTTCTGTCCACCTGGTGGAAGCAAGACAGTATTGATTTATAAATTCTGTGTGATTATACCTGTGGAGAAAGGAAAGAGGCAGATACCACCCTTCATCAGAAATTTCTTGGATTTTAGTGGAAGTGCTCTAAATGTGGTTGTGTAGCAAGTTAAAAAAGAAAAATGTTTTTACAGCTGCTATAGAGACTTAGTAGAGTTTGGCAGCTAAATCTGAAAATTACAGGAGCAGTAAAGATGTAAGATTGCAGCACCTCAGCACACAGAGGTGTTGACCAGATGTGAGTGCTGGGGACAGGTGAGGGGGAATTTCAGTGAAAACTGACGCCAAGACCTGACAGGGGTAACCTCAAAGTTTGTGCAAAAGAACACATGCCAAAACCACAAAAAGCAACTTTTCTTTTAAAGAGTTTGCCAAAATGAACGGAGAAATATTAGAATTGTGTTGAAAATATTGTTTTCATACTTAATTAATTCTGCAGTATTTTTTTTGGCAGTTATTTCTAAATTTACTGGATTAGAGACTTACAATGAATGAGTATTATGATGTCAGTATTGCAGACCTACTCCTATGTTATACTGTGATGTATAGACCAGGATGTGCTTCCTTTCCTACATCCACTCTGCAACCAAAGTTTTTCTCTACAAATGAGTTTCTTTTGGGTTTAGTATATTATAGGAGTACTGCATGTGGTTTGGAAGACTGCAGTCACACTTTTTGCTTGATGGGTCAGCAAAACTGATGCTTCTGGTTTTCACATTGATTTTTAGAGGAAGTTAAGTGAGTGAAAACATCCTTAAGTAACTTTGTTTGCAGACAGTTGGGATCTTAATTATACATTCATCATCAGTAAGAAATAAATAATGAAATTTCATGAAATCTTAAATGTGGGTGGTTGGAAGGGTGCTGATTTTAATACATATTACATCCCTAAACTTTTCATATGCTACCACCATTGAGAAGCCAGTGTGTTTCCATGTGGGGCCGGTTTTTTAAAGGAATGTAGGCAGTTATAATGCTGAGACCTGGAACTTAGAGACTTTTTCAAAACTTTGTGCTTCCTCAGTAAGTATCTGTACAATCCGGACAGAAAGAACGAATAGTTAAGGTTTGGGAGTTGAGGAAAAAGAGGCAGGGATTATGAAATCAGGAACCAGGGAAAGGAAACAAACTGTTCATGATGAAGAATAAAAGAGTTGAAGTGTATTGAAGAGATGTGCGCAGGAAGGATGGGTTGGAACCAGAGGACCAAGTAGATGGCTTTAAAAACAAACAGGAAAAAACATGGTCAAGATGGAAACTGGAATGGAGGTAGAGAGAGAGAACAAGGATGATGTCATTTGTGGATAGAAGAGTGTGTGAATAACACAGGGAGAATAATGGAGAAGGTGAGCATATGGAAAAGGGGAAGAGCCACTACTATGTTGTTCTTTAGAAACCTGGAGCTGAACCCAAGAACCACAAGGCTCTGTGTTCTGCTGTAAGCTTATAGCTGTTCAGTGCACTGGCAAAACTTGTTCTTCCTTTAGTAAGTTCCAGTGGTGCTCTGGCTGATTACAGGCTTACGCTGGGGGCTGCAGGTCTGTGCTGTCAGCGTCTGCGGGACTTGGCTCAAAGGAAAAACTCTGTCCTTTTTTAATTACATTCTCTTTTTTTCATATATATGTTTGAGCTTGGTACAGTTAGAAAAGCTGGAGACCCAAGGTAACAAGTGCCAGAATTAAAATTCCCATGCAGGAATAATGTGTGTTAGACATACACATTAATCTTTTACTTAAGCAGTTACTTAGTTTTCCAAATTAAGCTAAGTAGATTTAAATGTGGTTTATTTGGATTTAAGCATGTTTACCTATGTGGATTTAGATTTGGTTCCTAATTAAATTGCTTTAAAATATTTGAATGTATTAGCTGCTATCTTTGCTATAGAACTTGCATATAAAGGAAATTTATATTATAAACTTGTGTGTATGTAACTGGGGGAAGAAAGTTTGTTTTGTAGTAATTAAAAGCCCTTCTTGTCATGATTGAGGTTTTTTTAAATACAGTTTTTCTCGTCCTGGCAGGTCAACTGCTATAGCTCAAACTCTGCTTCTTGGGAATTTTATTTCATCATTTCATATTTCATGTTTTTGCCACCCTGTGGCTGCACCCTTTCTGAAAGCTCAGAATGTTTTGAAACTGGCTTCTGAGATATTACCTGCTGTTTCCAAGTTAAAATTTTGAAAAGCAAAGGAACAATAATTAAAATGTTTCTGTAGCTTTCTGGCATCATAGAAATTATATTAATATTCTGGAATTTCTCTTTAAATTGTACTTTGTAGTCACCCAAACTGTTCCTTTTCTCCATAATATACTTTTATACTTTCCTTAGTGCATCTGTATACACAGTAATACCATATTCAGACAATAATGGCAAATGATTCCTACAATATGGTCAAAAATTATTTTTTCATTAACTCAAACTAAATCTGGAAACTTGAACATCATGTAGAACAATTTAAATATACCATGGTGTAAAATTTTTTGCTTGGATAATTAAACACAAATATTACCTGTAAGTGTAAGTGGATTTGGTTCTTTTTATTACCCATGAAATAACGTGTATTTTTGTGCACTATTGGTTTCACAGGCAAGCATAGAAATATCCAGCTTTGACATACCTGTAATATTAATCACTTTTATTAATTAATGTATTGGAACTAAATCTGTCATCTTGTTTATTTTATTCCCCCATTGTGTTAGCATTCTTATTCCTGTTCTTTGAAGCAACCTCCTAGCACAGACAACTTTTCTCCTTGGTCATTGAATAGTACTGGACAATTTGATAATTGGCTTATTGATTATTTCTCCCTCTTTTGAGTTGTAGATTCCTTCTCTGTTTTCATAGCAACAGTATTCTATTTAATAATAAATTACAGTAAATTCCCTTTTTTTTGGTTGGAAACACATCCAAGCTGAATACATGTTTTTGTTGCCTGTTTTTTTTCCCACAGAAACTAGTAAAGTGGACTATGTCCTATTTCAAGCTGCTACGGCGATAATGGAAGCAGTTGTAAGAGAATGGATTCTCTTGGAAAAAGCTAGTATTGAGTCACTGCGAACATTCCTTCTAACCTATGTCTTACAAAGGCCTAAGTAAGTATAGAAAACACACCTTTGAACATGCAGCATCCTGCATAAAGTCTGGGTTGTCATTTTTGTTTCCCTGGGTAGCAGTGCAAGATCATTTTAAGAATTTGTATTCTAGTCTTAGCAGTTAATTTCTGTCAGCTTTCCCTTATGAATTCACACCAAATATTTGAAAAAGAAATGCATTCAAAATTTTATTGAGCATTGATGTCCAGAATTACATGCAAATATATTTGTATAATTTTGTTTACAGCCTTCAAAAGTATGTTCGGGAGCAGATTTTATTAGCGGTAGCGGTGATAGTGAAACGGGGATCATTAGACAAATCAATCGACTGCAAAAGCATTTTTCATGAAGTCAGCCAGCTGATCAGCAGTGGTAACCCCACTGTGGTAAGTACTTTGGTTTTTTTCTTCAAAAGTTCAGCTGTCTGTATCGGCAGCTTATGTTATATACTGAGTGGCTATGAAATATTTTATACTTCGCTTATCCAATTAGTCATTAAGTTGGTAACTACTCACTCATTTACCAAAATGAAGATTGTTTAATGTTTTGGGACTAGGGGTAGTACATGTAGCTCTTTGCTATACAAGGAGACCATATTTTTAGGGAATGTTTTTATGAATAGTTGCTTTGAGTGCCATACTTGTGGGTTGGTAGTTTATTTTGAGGGGTTTTTTGTGTTTTGTTTTTTTTTTAAATATTATTATTTGTTTGTTTTCCTTTTTTCTATGGTTTTCTTTAAACTAATAGTAAGACCTAAAACAGATTTTCCGTTAGCTGGGAGGTTCTTTGCATACTCCATTCCCCTTCCATCTGTGCAGTGCTGCACTCTGCTGCAGCTCAGCTGTTGAAATAGACTGCGAGCAGGAGGCATAGGCCTCTGCTGTTCTTTGGGAGACAAGTAGGTGGAGAGAAAGGGGTGTGAGGAAGTAAAACATGGAATGGAAATACAAAACTTATTCTTGATTTAATGTCATACTACTAGGGGTAAGTTACCCCTAGTGTTACCTTCGATACTGAGCTTGAAGTGGAAACAAGGTGTCCAATATCTATCTATGCATTTAGTGAAATTCCGTTTGCTATGCCAGGGGATAAGTTTAGAATAGGTCATAATAGAGGCATGTAACTAGAGCTTAAAGAGAGGTGATTTTTTCTCCTACCAAATGAAAATCAAAGAGTATATGGATTCCATGCTGAAACTTTAACTGAAGCTTTTCTCAAAAAAAAAACAACCTTGAGTGAACTGGCTCCTGACTGCTGAGCTTTTGGAGCAGCAGTTATACTAGATAGATGGGAGGGGCAAATGTTTAACTCTGAAAATTCAATCAAAGTGTACTAGAAGTAATCCAGCTCATGTCATGGTCCTAAAAATAGTGTGTCACCTCTGAGTAACAAGTAATATTGCTCCAGGGTATGGAAATTTCATTTAGTCTTGTAAAACTTAATTTCACGGTTATTTACCTTAAGGAAACCGTTTTAGCCTTTTGATTCTGCATAATTCGGATAGAAATGGGAACTTATTAGGAAGAACTGAGTTAATGCTTTTTTTCACGAAACATAGTCTTGTTTATTAAAACGCTGTTACAGCTGAGGTTTTCAAGTTTTATGCATGACACTGTGTATGCTCATGTAGTTTGTAGGATCTTTGCATAAAGATAAAAAAGCAGCATAAATAGAAACGTGGACTTTGAACTAAGTAATGCACTGTCCAGCTTGTACAGTTGTATTCTCTGCATGCACTGTCCACAGAAACACTGCACACAGCATACAGCAAGCTAAGACTGCTTGCTCCAAGCATATCAACCATGCTGTGGAGAAGAGTATGTTGCAGAGGAGCTCTGGCTGGGGGAAGGGGTACTCTTCTCCAAGTTCAACTCACTGCCAAATTGAGCTCAGTTTTTCATTTCCCTTTATTTCATTTTCCTTTTATTTCCCCCTCTTCACAAGTATTAATTTCTCCATAGTTTTTCCGAAATATTTATGCTTAAGTTTTAAGAATGGTATTGAACATGTCTAGGATATATAATGATGTTTTCTATTATGGCGTGCTAATAAGACTTTAATAAGTAAAAAATAAGACTTAATAAGTAAAAAAAAAAGACACGTGATGCTGCTGAAGCATCTTTTCTCTATGGCACAGTATATGGTTGTTAGTCTTTGGTAAACTGGTTATAAGCACATGGTCTCATGTGGTTTATATTATAAACCAGTTCTCATTCACAAAAATGTTCTTGTAATCTTCTGAGACTTAGCTGCAGGAGAGACTCTGGTACTGGCACCCAGGACTGGCATGTGCAATAATAAGCAGTAGTAAAATGCTTTCTGAAGGGAGTCAGGCCATGCCTCTTGTATAAACATGTAACAACTTTGAAAAGCTGTACAAAATAATTCATACAATGAATTATTTATTATTTTAGTTATCTTTTCAAATATGGCTGGGTGGTTTTGTTTCTTTACCAGTGAACCTGTCGCATTCAGCCATGCCTGTGGGGCTGTGTGGGACTCCTGTGGTGCAGTTGCCTTGCTGCTGTGGGGAGTCTCAGCTAAGAGTGCTTCAGGGTATGGTGTGAAGCCCATATTCTGAAGGAAATGGTGCTTTCAAGATATATGGATAGTGCCATGCACTGTCACAGGTGTTTCTGGAGATTAGTTTCTATTAGTTACTTGTAAATACAGGTTTGCATTCAAATCAGGGAAGATGCTAGGATGTAAGCATTGAAAGAGATCAGTAGGTGTTTTCTGGTCCTCTGTGCTCCCCTGTGGAAGGAATCATTCCATTTTTCTGATGTCTTTCCACTGGTGTGATACACACTCTTGCCTCCTTGTACACTCAAGCTGCAGAAGGATATCATACCTTTGTGACTCCTAATTATTTTTCCAGTTTCTTTGTCCTTTCTGTATCCTTCTCAGCCTTCTGTTATGACCTTCTGCCCACCCATTTGTGTTGTTCTGCCTGAGGTTCGCTACACTTGAAGTCAGCAGCAGGTCACTTCATATTTAAAAATACTTAAAGCTCTCAAACAAGAGCTATCAGCAGCTTTTAGCTGCTGATAATTGCTTAGAGCATGGTACTAATAACACCAAGGCTGTGGGTTGGATCCCCATATGGGCCATTCACTTAAAAGTTGGACTTGATCCTTGTGGGTCTCTTCCAACTCAGAGTATTCTGAGGTAATGGCTTTTTACAGCAGTTTATAATTGAAAGTCCATTTTAAAAAAGCAAAGTATTCTCTGTTTCTTACTTACTTTTTCTTCCCTGTTTGCTTTGAATCTTCTTGATCCATCTTTACCTTGCAAGAATAACATAGGTACTTAATCTTTTCCATTTCCTGCAGCCCTCTACCCACTTTCTATGGGATGTCCGTACTAACTTTGTGATTATCAGAGAGTCCTGCTCCCTGAAATCTTTGGGAATTTTGAGTAATATCTTGTCAGGATTGAGTCTTGATAGTTGGGGTAATAAGGAGGGCAGTGAATGTAGATGGTAGTGTCTGATGAATGTCCTTCTGCATCAGGGATTTGATGTGCTTACTACCTCAACTTCTCAAGTTCTAGTTAAGATCTTCAGAGATGTATGCATTTTGAGGCTAGAACTTGAAGGTATATAGTGGCAAACTGACATGTATGCAAGACTGATGGATGAACTGTTGAGAATGAAAAAATAAGAGGGAGGTTGAAAGGAAGATAAGAAGAGGAATTGTGATGAGAGTAATAAAATGGCTTTAGTGTTGAGTAATCTTTTAATAGTGGAACACGGTGTACATATTAAGGAAATAACAGACGATAAAGAGAGTTAATACTCCAGGGATGGGAAGGATGCATGGTTAGAGCCAGGTTTAGAACTGGAATGTTGGCTTCTGCTGCTGGTTGTCTGTCATTTGGTGCTTTATGAATCTCACAGAAGAAACCTTTGTTTGAGAAGAAAAAACAAACTTTTAGTCTGGCTGCTGATTATTTATAACTGAGTTTAGGTAGTAATCCTCTAGAAAGACAAAGATTAGCTTTAGAGTTCTTGGTTTTGTTTTTTCTGGCTCCTGTATTATCAATGCAAGCCATCCCTCTGCTTGTGAAGGAGAATCTGTAATCTCCCTCTGACAGGAATTTCAGGATCTCTTTTCAAAATCTTCATCTCTCTGGGGGACAGAGCTTCTGGCATCAGACACAGTATCTTGAGCCAGTCTTAAAATTCTAAATACATGTTTTCTATCACTGATTTTAAGATTTTGGAGAATTACGTGGGCCAAGTCTTTCTCAACTATAAATGCCTTCAATTTCTTGACCTTTGTGTTCAAATATTCTGCTTTTGCATAGCTGAAGGATTTCATTTGTCCTTCATCCCTGCCAGAAGGACAGGAATCCTGGCAGCTAAGTGACTGACTCCCAGGAGGAGGATCTGGTCTGCATGTGAACACAGTCAGATTTTGTTTAAAACCAGACCAAGATATGGATCATACCTTGATTTCTTCCAGTATATGTGTAGGCAGATGCAGAGGGGTCCAGCTGCTATAGACTTGACATGGGACTGGGAAGCAATAGAAGCTGCATTTTTTAAGATCTGCAGTGCATACAGCAGAATATATTTTAATATAAAGCTCCATATCTGAAGGCTACATATTTTTTTTGTATATGGAAGATTTGTCAAGACTCACTGGGAAAGCTTTGGAATCCTAACAGTTCCTTCTCTTGCAAAATTTTTAATTGTGTTGTTCTGTTTCCCAGTGTTCCTAGCTGGGTTAGAGAGAAGATTCAGCTGCTTCAGATTACCTAAAGCTTCTGAGGGATGTGAATGGATTTCACGTGAGCGGTGGGAAATATTAATAAGCAAAACTCTAGGCATTCATCTTCACTGAGGTTAATCTATCCATTATAGTGGATATAGTGGATGCCTGGATAACTAGTTATATTTATTTAGCATTTGCGGTTCTTGTTTCTATTCTTTAAAGGGAATTTTACTTCTGGAAACCTGTCTAGCTGTTACTGTTTCATGTTGTATGGTAGGAGTTGGAGAGGCCCTCCTGACGTTCACATTTTGACAAAAACATATGTATTATCCATCCCAAGTTGTGTCTTCTGGTCTAGTAAAATTGTTACCTTGTTCTATGAACCTCATTGCCCTTGAGACATGTTGAGTATAAAAAAGAGGGTGAACCAGGATATTTAGGCTGACAAGTTCTCTTTAAAGGCCTAAATTAGTGTGTTAAATGCTGGTTTGGGAATTTTAGGAATCTAGAAACTATTCCACATGTGAGGTTAAAACTCAGTGATAGAAGCGTAAAAGAACTTTAAACATAAGTGTTTTTTTAGTAGTTGAATTAACCAGGGTGCTTTTGCAGTTCTCAGATTTTTCTCTTGAAAGGGAGCTGGCTTTACCAGAGATGCAGTACAGCAA